GTCAGAAATGGGGTAACTTAGAATTGATTACATTTTGGTGGTGATCCTGATCCAATTAACTAATTAATTAAATTTTCAGGATAGGTCAGAAATGGGGTAACTTAGAATTGATTACATTTTGGTGGTGATCCTGATCCAATTAACTAATTAATTAAATTTTCAGGATAGGTCAGAAATGGGGTAACTTAGAATTGATTACATTTTGGTGGTGATCCTGATCCAATTAACTAATTAATTAAATTTTCAGGATAGGTCAGAAATGGGGTAACTTAGAATTGATTACATTTTGGTGGTGATCCTGATCCAATTAACTAATTAATTAAATTTTCAGGATAGGTACCGTCAGAAATAGGGTAACTTAGAATTGATTACATTTTGGTCGTGATCCGGATTCAATTAATTATTTAATTAATTAATTAATTAATAAAATTTTCTAGAGTGAGAGAATTGAGCTGCCTTGGCGGAGGTCTGTGCTCTCCGAGTGCTCTAGTTATATATTATTATTCAACCGTCTCTACCTGTACGTGTATTGGATCAGATACCACATATATGAGCAAAACATTTCTTAAACATTAAAACCGAAGTATACGTGATTAGAAAAAACTGCGTTCATCAAAAGTTTAAATTTACATGTCTTAATTTTATTAATTAAATATTGACGTTTTTATAGTTAAAAGAGGGAGAGGACTATACGTGGAGGCCTCCTACCCAGGGTCCAATAGAACCTCCATACAAGGATGCTTGTTTCCTGAAGAAGAATGAGCTACTGGCTAAACCATCATCATCATTATCATCGTCATCATCAGGAAAGGATACTACCAAGAGTACTCTTGATACTACTCATCCCCAACTTGAATAAGGTATGCAGTGTAGCCAGTCATACACGATACAGTTACTGTCAGCTCATCCACAATAGACAGATGGCATATTATAGGGTTGTAAAAAATGAGAATTTATTTAATAAATACGTTGTAATCCTTTTTCGAACAATAGTATGCTATTTGTTATTTTCAATAATGGTTCTTTTTAATTTACTCGTGTTCTTACATTGAAAGCTTTCAACACGAGGTATATAGGAAATGGGACAGCTCTGAATTTGCACATTTTTATATGGTAACCCTACTGGATGTTAATAGACTCATTCGATATGGTGTAAAGATCATAAATGTGTGAATGTTTTTTACTGAATTATGAAAAAAGTGAAGATACTAGAAATACTGAATTAGGGTTACTGCTGTACGTGTGCGTATAAGCAAACATGATTTAGTGAGTGACGCGTTGTCACTTTTTAAAAGTGTTTAAAGTAGGTGTAATAGTTGGGCATTATATGAATCAATGTTTGCTATTATTAGCTTATTATGTCAGAGGGTTTTATATTACTGTTGATGATGTTTTAGAATACTTCAAAGTAATTAGACTAATCTAACTGTTGCTGGCTTTTTGTCAGCTCAAACTCCCTGTCACTGATGTTGGGTTGTACTCCGTGGAAGATTTCCTTACAGTTATCCAGTTTCGCTTCTCGTATCTTACGATCTTGTGTACGTTTTTATGTAGATGTACGCATGCTTTCTTTGTTCTCCAATAAGCGCATAATTATGGTCAGATGTTCATTTAGAATGTTATATTCCATTTGTAATTCTGTCGCTCGGAGCCCACGCGTCTGCAATCACTAGCGGATTAAGGGCGGGGCAACAGGGGCACGTGCCCCGGGCCCCCCACATTTGGGGCCCCCCACATTTAGAGTATCCTAAAATTTACAAAACTGTCGTAATTGTGATCCACAAAATTCTTAGCATGGAACGTTGAAGTGATGCGTTTCCCATGCTGTTTCTCTG